AACATTCTCTTTTAACGATGTGAATAAATTTTGGAAGTGTAAGGAAGATTTTATCTCTAATAAAAATGATGAAAAAAAAATGACTTAGTTTTAATTAAACTATTATACAGTTTATCCCCAGTGGGCACAGGACGTAAAAAAGATGTTTTTAAACGTCTTTTTGGACGTCATTTTAAACGTTTGGACGTCATTTTAAACGTTAAAAGACTTTTAGACGTCATTTTAAACGTTTTGGACGTCATTTGAACGTTCAAAAGACGTCTTATTTAGGTCCTGTGCCTACTGGATTTACATTTAACCTTTCAGTTAGTTTAGGAGGTTCGATGTTGATCCCTTTAAAAACGTTTTATTTTACTATTGGAATAAATTAAATTAGTATCATCAGCATATTAGATAAAATCTAGAATAATAAAAGTATTGCTTAAATCATTAAATCATTATCATTTTTTTAACACAAGTAAATTATTTATAGAAATTGAAAAGCAATTATTGAAAGCAAATAAAAGCAAAAAAATAGTTTATACATTTTTAGAACAAAAACTTTTACAAAATTAAAGTTATTTTCAAAACGATCTTCATAAAATCCTCATACCGTTATCTTCATCACCAATATTAAATTCATATGTATTTTTATCGCCTTCTGTTATCAGACTCATTTTTATTTGATGCACATTTTGTTACGATCCAATCAATATGGTGCAACCTTTAAAGAGTCTAAATTTTATCTTTATGCATTGTATCTTTTTATTTAAGAACATCAGGTAACTGCATCTAAATAAAAATATCTTTAAAGTAAGGTGCATTTGTACATTTTAAAAGTATTATTATACTTCAAATTGTTCACAAGCGAATGTGAAAATTAAGTGATCAATAGTAGGAAAAAAAAGACAACCCATTACTGATCCGTGCCTAATTTACTTCATTATTGACCAAAATATCAACCTATTTGGATAAAGATACATTATACATCAACATCACACATCAACGCGTATACACACATAACGCAAAACTTTTAGGCAGCTATATATAGCAGATATCTGTAATTAACTGTATTTATATATACATATATGTATATAATTATATACATATATGTATAAATACATACATACAGTGCTCAAAGTGAAGAAAAAAAAAGTAACAGCATGGTATTCGGTAAATTAAAAATACTATCCCATCTTATCATTGTTATATATAGAGATTTACAAAAAAGTCGCGGGATGGTTTATACTTTATAAAAAGGTGACGGGATGGCATCCCGCTTCATCCCGCCTCATTTCGAACACTGCATACATACATATATATATATATATATATATATATATATATATATATATATATATATATATGTATATATATATATATATATATATATATATATATATATATATATATATATATATATATATATATATATATATATATATATATATATATTATAGATCATCCAGGTCATATTTTAAAAATCCAAAAAAATCAGTTGGGTAAAGTATCCACAATATATTTTCCCTAATTATTACTAATAATTTTGATTTTAGCTGAGCTGTTTCTAATTTTTTTTTAACTTTTCTTAAGTTTTGTATGAGTAATGAGTGAAAAAGCTTAAAAATTAAATATATTAAAAAAATATACTCCTAAACTTGTATGTATAGAAAACATTTTTGATATCCGGAAAAACTAAAAGTTGAGAAAAATATCCGGAATTCCGGAAATATCCGTAAAAAGATAATCCCTGATATATATATATATATATATATATATATATATATATATATATATATATATATATATATATATATATATATATATATATATATATATATATATATATATATATATATATATATATAACTTTGTTTTTAGTTTATTTCCCATATACCTGCAAAATTTAAATAAATTTAATCAAAGAAAAAAAATACAGTAAAAATACAATCAAATCACAAATCAATTAAATTAATGGAATACTCGAATCGCAAATTAATATAAAAATAAGAAAATTATCGCAAAAAAATGTGATATTTTAATAAAGATTTGAAAAACCAGACATGAATACAACTGAGAGATTAGAGTTAGTAGACAAATCAATCTAGACTAGTCTATAAAAATGTGATTTGATACTCAACGGATATATTGAAATATTTAAATAAAAAAAAAGAAAGTTAGAGAAAAAGCTGTTCATAAACAGCTTTTTCTCTAACTTTCTTTCTTCTTTTTTATAAACTTTTTTCTGTTTTGTTTGCAGAAATCTTAGCTCTAACTTGAGCATGTTGTTAGCAACTTTTAATAACTTTTTCTTTTTTTATAAGTGCTAATTTTTTCATAAATACTATAAATAAGAAAATAATAAATAACTAATAGCAATACGTAAATAAATAACTATAATACTAATGATAAGTAATAAGAAGAAATAAGAAATTGTTTAACAATTTTTTATCTATGCAACTTGATAATTTAAATTATACTGTGAGTAAAAAAAGCTATTAGCAGAAAGTTGTCATGAATGGTACACTATTGACATATCCATGAATGGTACACTATTGACATACCCATGAATGGTACACTATTGACATATCCATGAATGGTACACTATTGACATATCCATGAATGGTACACTATTGACATATCCATGAATGGTACACTATTGACATATCCATGAATGGTACACTATTGACATATCCATGAATGGTACACTATTGACATATCCATGAATGGTACACTATTGACATATCCAAGACAACTATCTATGATGGCAGAGTAATAAAAGTTAATTAAAAAGTCATAATTTACATTCTTTGTTACTCTCATAATATTTATATAATGACATATGCATTATATAACAAGAATGTGTTTGTTTATTCTAATTTAAATTCTATTACAGTTGAACAGAGCGACATAAAAAAAAAAATTTATTCTTTAAATCTTCATTGACTGGCTCCTCTCTCCGGATGAGCATTATGAAAAAACAAAGTAGATATATTTAAAAATGACTTTATTGTACTTTCGCTCCTATATTATCAAAGCCTACGTTAACTAGTCTATTTTTTGCTTTTTTAACTAAAACTAAATTTAAGTTCTGTTCTACTGTGCAAGCCATCTTTATTCTATTTTTATAATGCAGCAAAATATTATTTATGTGATAATCATTTATATATAATAGGTTATAATACCTGTAGTTTCATCACATTTTAGTTTAAACTTATACTAACCAACTGTTGTGATTTATTGCAATTTTTTACTGCAAATTTCACATTTTGATTCGGGCAACGGACAAAACCATTCTTTATCCAACTTGATGGAATTTCATTCACACAAACAACATTGTCTTTTGATTAAACAAACCAAAACACACTGGCTCACACTATAGTTTCATAATTATAATAAGGCTTTGATGGTATATTTGACATGTATATAAAAACGTCTTTAAATGATTTAAATATTCATCTTTAATCCACCATTTTTATCGTTATTTCACAACGTTGAATTAACGTTGAATAACGTTAGCGGTTGTCCATTAATTACGTCAACAAAATAGGGGGAGGGGGTCACTACTTTTATTTCTTTTATAAGGAAATTTGACAAATTGTTGACAAGGGGGAGGGGGGAGGAAAAAATTTAAAAATTAATAGACAGTTTCTTATGCGCTTGCTGGGATATAGAACACGCATTTAATTACAACATTACTGCTAAATAAACTAGTTAATAAATGATTTATTAAATTTGTGTGGTATAGATAATGTACAAATACGTTTTTGCGTATTTAAAAGAATCGTTTTTTGTGTCATTGATGAAATAAAAAATCTAAATAAACTCGTTAATAAATGATTTATTAAATTTGTGTGAGTTTTTTTTTTTTTTTTTTTTTTTTTTTTTATAGAAATGCTTCATACAAATGATATTTCTTTTTTTGAATAATTTTATTACATTCCTTGTGTAACCAGGGATTTAAAATTATTTTACTTTTAATAAATTTTATAATCACGGGAAATGCTTTATCGTTATATCTGAATAAAACTGTAATGTTTGCATTTTGAATATTTAAAATATTTTCCGAGTTTTTGAAATGGAAAATTAATGAAAAGTTACATGCTAATGATGTTATTTTTTTTTTTTTTTTATTATATTTTTTAAGAGGTGTTTCTTTTATGGAGTTATGTACGGAGCAAGATTATCAGTAATAATTTTAAAAGAACACTTTTTTGTTCTATTATAATCATAGTAGGTACGTGAGTAAAAATTTCAAATTGTTTAAATGTTCTACAATTATATATCATTGCAAAGAGGATCAATACAGTATTTTAAAAAAGAAAAAATTTTAAAAATCGAACAATTGGTTTAAAAGTTATGAAGGTTTAAGTACCAATTTTTCGATATATGAAATTGTTGAAGAAACTGTGGTCAAAGTTAAATTGTCATAACATAAATTGTCATAATTGAAGAAATTATGACAATTTATGTTATGACATAATTTGTCTTAATTCTTATTGAAATACAAATATCTTGGTGTCAAAAGATAGGTGTAGAAGTGGGCTATAAATTTTTGTTAAACTCTAACCACCGGGCGTATTGGATGGACAGAGGGGAACCAAACCACCACCTTACCCTAATGAAACTGAACATTTTTTTCAAAAAAAAAGTTTTTTTTCAAAACATAAGTAATTTAAATATGCAAAAAAAGTTGTTATAAAATTATTTTCAACCACCGATGATATGAGAGGTGCATGTTAATGATGGAGGTGGTTGCGGTGGTGATGGTTTGATACACCCTAGTATCAAATATAACTTCTTTTCATAAAAATTTTTATCTTTACTACATTGAAATCAATAGTATACATAATAAAACTATATTTTACATGAATTGAAATACACAAGTGGCGTTGATGTATGGGAGGGGCGTCTAACCCCCCCCCCCCAACCTTAAAAAAAAAAAACTAAGATAACGCAACTTCTATTTTCATTAAATCTTAAAACAAAGTTTTTTTCTGTATAAAAAAGGATCTATAAATTAATACCTGACAACTACAAAACATTGAAGGTAAATATAAAACATGTTATAAAACATGTTAAATGTGTTGATGATGTTTTAACACACCCTAATATGAAAAAAAAATTTAATTATGAAATATCTGATTGGGTATTTAAAGTACAACAACAAAGAAGTAAAAAATATATCTTACTCGGTCAAAAGTTACAGTGTTGCACCCATTTTCAAATAAGAGGGGTCATCTCCAAATCCTCCGCCTGAAAAAGTGTAAACTTTTTTTTTTGAAAAAAACCTTTTCGATTAATTGGAGAATTAGTTGTTAAAATATTCTTCTATTACTGAGTGACTTCTATTATCAGTAAATAGTAGCAAAAAGGTAATCAAAACAAGGTATTAATCAACCTTTATAAATCTTCCAATCTTTCATATAGTGCTTGATAGTAACTTGGTTAACGAAAGGTTCGGCTGTTTTAAACTAAAAAACAAACAAAATGTTATTAACACTAAATAATGTTTGATTATTTTAATGATGCTTTATTTCATAAAGATTTGTCTTGGCTTTTAGTGAATGATATCAAATTCCACTAATAAAATAATTTTATAATAACTTTTAACAATAGACACCCCGTGAAGGTAAGCCAGAGCCGTCTATCAAAAATGCATAGCAAGTCACAACACTTGCAGTACTTTTTACAAAGTTAAAATAAATAAACTTTACCAGTTGAATTAGTATAAAATATATTGCATGATTTTTTTTTATTAAATCATGTTACAAAGTAAAATTATACAATCTTTAAATAACTTTAAAATATAGACGCATATAGTACACATACCAATCTTGAAGTTGTTATTAAAATTTAAATATTAAAAATATATTAAAAAGTTAAAATAAAAAAACCTTACCAGCTTGAACAACTATAGATGACACTTTGAAAAAAATAAATAAATAAATAAAAAAGTGTAATGAACAAAAAACTAAATCTTGCAATTACTTTGCCATATAAATAATTTTGAAATATCATAATATAAAAACTTTACCAGCTGCAACAGATGACAAGTATATTAAAGATTAAATAATAAAATAACACAAAAGATTAAATGGTACATGTAAATATTACATGTTAAATATACATACATAGTACATATTAAATATACAATAACATCACATATTAAATAGTATAATACAAAATCAAACTATATTTCTCAATACATACACATAAAAACACACATTAATCTCTTACCAATTAATGAAGTAAGTGTTGCTAAAGAATTTAAAAGGAATAAGTAGTAACAATAGTAATATAACAATAGTTTACTAAAATAAACTTAATTTCAAGTTACTCTTTTCGTTACATCTTTAGTTAGTGTGTATCAATAGAGTAAACACCTTTAGCGTGTATCAATTGAATAATAATCCTAGCATGAATCATTAAACTATACTATTGAAATTGTTAAAATTTAATAAACTTACAAATCTGCTGTCTGAATTCACCTAAAAGCCAATTTAAATATACTAACTTTATTATAAAATTAAATTATCAGACTAACATTGCAAAAAAAAAAAATTTAAATGACTAAATAACTAAAATAGTTCAAACTTTACTTACTAATAGTTTGTTCTAAATTGTCTATAGAAAAAAAAATAACAATTACTCAATAAAAAGCAAGAAACAATCAGGAATATACAAAATAAACAACTGTGAAAAACCTTTGTGGATGCCCAAAATTCGGCACAAAAAACATAGCATAATAAAAATATATAATTGAATATTGAGAGCAAAAGACTAAATACTAAATAATAAATGGCATAAAAAAACTGACTGATCCTCTCAAAAGCATCATCTAAAAAACTAAATCTACTGACCTTAAGTTAAAAGAAACTGATGAATATTGAATGTTTAAAATAACTAACTGATATTGTTGGCTGCTGCCGTAGGACTGCTTTAGGCAGCTAAAACAATATAACAAATGTTTTTGATTATTTACGTTACATTTATTATACATAAAAGTTGAATAAGGTTGCTAACATATATTAGTATTATATGGCCATATTTTATTTATAGTATTATTACAGTTGAAAGATTACCAGTTAGTCATTAAAAAAAAAGTCTAGTTTTTACCTAGACTTTTTTAGAAAAAGATGCATGATACAACAAGTAGTAGTATATTGCAATTGTTATTGGAAAGACTTACAATGTAAGATAAAATATGTTATAATATTACTAATATGTCAGTTACATTTTTAAAAAATTGAACTTTAAAGCGAGGAAACATTAAAATTCATTTAAATTAAATTATTTGCCTTCAATGTAAAGTTATTAAATTTTAATAACTTTACATTGAACGCAAACAATTTTTTTAAAATTTTAATAAATAGGAAACAATATTGTAAACCTTTATCAATATCTTCACTTTACATTTTGTTTAATCTAAAAAAAAAACTGAAAGTTTTATTTAATCAAAATCAAATATAAACAATGTTTATTTAAACCCTCTGTCTTCCGCGAACACTTCAGCAAAATGAAAATTAGGTACCAAAACTTATTTAAATGATGTATCGAGTTTATTTGTATATCAATAAACAAAGTCTCAAACTAATATACTTCGGACTAATTCATTATTTCCACAGCTATGCAAATATATTACAGGAAAGTACATAACCATCAAAACTTAAAAGAATTTATAACAAAATCATTAACTCTAAAAAAAATCATGAACACGCTGAATCTCTAATGAAATAAATGAAAATGATTGATATTTTTTAAATAAATTTCTATCAGCAATCGATTCAACATTAATTTCCTAAAAACTTTAATAACAAGTTTGAAATGAATAAAAATGAAAACTATTAAACTATCTTAGAGCAAATATAAGTAACATATATAAACTGCTACTGAAGTAAATAAAAAATGATAAATAAATAAATGAATACAGCTTTTGAAGTTTAAAAAATTTAAAAAGTAAGTAAGCGATTGGCAAAAGTCTAAAAAAACTTTAAACTGTGTTTATAAATGTAGAATATAATCTAAATATCTTTTAGCATTTAGGTTTATAATTTTATAAATAGTACGATAAAATAGGAAATCAAATAACCAAAATTCAAAAAGGTGACTTACTTTATGTTTTTGTGTATAGAGTATACTAACTACCCTAAGAAGTGTGGATACAATTAACCACGATCAAGTGTGGTTGCAATGATCCGTCATAAAAGAGGTTGACGAACAAAAAAGTTTAATGAATCAAGTTCTCACACTAAAAGACGATATATAACTAATACATCATTTCATTCAAAAATGGAATCCGTCGAAAAAGTATTGTTAGTGACACAAAGAACAGCATTAAAAAATCGCGAATTTACAGGGTTATGCAAAATTATAAATTGCTTTATGCAAAATTATAAATTGCTTTATGCAAAATTATAAAGTGCTTTATGCAAAATTTCGAATCGTTTAGTAAATCCATTTAAAGCATAAAAAAGTTCGAATATATAATTTATTTATATATAAGCTCATGTCATTTAACATTTAGACTTCAAAAAAATTATATTAATTTAAGCAAGTACTTAATTCAAAAATCATATTTTGTTTAGCTTTTTCCAACCATCGTTCCATTGATCTCCAAAATCCACTTAATTCTTCGTTAATTTTACGCATTCGATTAAAAATTATTTCCAATGCATCTCTAATATTAATTTCATTATTTAAATCTTTTATTACGCGATATCTTGCCTTTATCATGCTAAAAAATTCCTCAATGGGATTTAATTGAGGAGACCATGCCGGTAAATATTCTCTATTTATTCTTAATTCATTTAAAACTTCTATAATACTTCTTGATCAGTGAAATGGAACATTATCCGTTATCAGTATATGGTCTGGGTTATGTCGGAAATAATTACACAGGTTATTTCTTATAAATCTTTCAAAGCTTTCAGCATTATAAGCTCCAGTTCTTAATTCATAAGCAACCACACCAGAAATATTTATTGCACACATCAAACTTCGATTTGTATTTCTGTTTCCGTAAATAATGGAATATGCCTTTTCATTTTTTTGGGAATACCCATATCGTCTTCTCAAATGCTAATTAAATCCTGATTCGTCTAAAAAGACCAATTTATCACTAAAATACGCGAGATACGGCGGGCATATATGGCCCTTTTTTCAATATTTGCTGGGGAATTTCGTTCTTCGGCAACCAATGAAAGCCTTTTTCGCGTTATATTTTTTTTCCGCAATTTCCTTGATACTGTTGATTGAGATATTACCATACTGGTTGCTGCATTAACTTCATTTACCATTTCATTTTGTGTCAGTTCATTATTTATTGCTATCGTATTAAATAAAGTATTTTCGATTTCACTGAACAACAAATTTTTGTTTTTGATTGTTTGCTTGTGGCGTTCTCCCTTAGTAGCAAATTTGATGCCTTTTTGATGATTTCTTATGCAGTTTCTTACAGCACTTTGGCTAATGTTTAAAGTTTCGGCAATGTATTTGGTTGAATGATTATTTATCGAATTAGACATGTTTATAATTGTTTCATGAATTTATAATTTTGCATAAAGCACTTTATAATTTTGCATAAAGCACTTTATAATTTTGCATAAAGCACTTTATAATTTTGCATAAAGCACTTTATAATTTTGCATAACCTTGTAATTTAGTCAAATTATTTTGTGTCGTTACAAAGAGGCAAACGAATCGTTATTGTTTTACACTCAGCTAATCACGTTGCAAAAGAAAATGGCGTCTGATGTAACTTTTGCATTCTTCTTGGATAAAAATTTTCAAAAAGTGTTTGTCAGTATAGTGTTTTAGAAATCTTAGTTTACATCTTTGACACAACTTTGTCCTAATTGTCATTACATAACATTCTAATTGCAATCAATTTCAAAGACCCAATTGATCTGATTAAAACTAATAAATACAGCAAATGTCAGAGGTAACTCATTGGTTAAAGGTCCAAGCTTTCATTCACAAAGTATTACCACATGCTGGGGATTTACCATTATTCGCCAGTTTTATATGTTTTGATGGAGGAAGAAGCAGCTAAATCTAGACACAGAATTTATAAATTGGATTGTAAACACCATGCAAGGAAAAAATGCAGAAAGACAAACTTATTTGAAATTTTAATTCGAGCTATCCATTCTTTTGATCCTCTAATTAGCACAACCTTATTAACTAAAAGATTGAAAAATAAGAATACTTTAAACTTTTGCCTACCGGCAAAAGTTAAAAGTTTTTTAGCAGCCTATAGCGGTGATTGAGAAAATTCATCTAATATGGAATCAGATGAAATTAATGACTTAGATGTAATATATTTAAATATTGACAACATAATTTAGTTATAAATGTAGAAGAATAAGGTTCTAATCTGTATAATATATAACGGGCCGTGTCGTCGGCTCTGTAATGTATAATTTTATACTCGTTTGCCTACTATATAAAATTATTAAAAGTATAAAAAAAGTACATTAAAAAAATATTTAAAAAATTTAAGTGACCCTTCTCAAATCATTAGATTTTGGAAACA